TTATGCCTGTAATCCCAGCACTTTGGGAGGCCAAGGCAGGCAAATCACTTGAAGTCAGGAGTTCAAGACCAGTCTGGCCGACATGGTGAAACCCCGTCTCTACTTAAAAATAAAAAAAAAAATGAGCAGGGCATGGTGGCAGGCACCTGTAATCCCAACTACTCTGGAGGCTGAGGCAGGAGAATCACTTGAACCTGGGAGATGGAGGTGGCAGTGAGCCGAGATCGTGCCATTGTACTCCAGCTTGGATGACAGAGACTGTGTCTCAAAAAAAAAAGTATGTCACAGAGTTGGAGAGTTCATACACTCCTAAGGTAGGAGAATGAAGGTGTATTACTGGCCTTGCCGGCTGAAAGAAAACTGCGTCTGGAAATCTTTATTAACAGGAATGGAGAAAAAGCATCTGCCAAATTCATTAGCTGTCTACCAGGTACTAGCGTATTAATTTGTGTAAAAAATGAAACCACATCTGGTAAACCTACTACAATTGGAATCATCACCTAGTTAAACTTATAATAATCCACTATCATTTTCCAAGATCCATCTATCTTCTGCACAGGCCAAATAGGAGAGTTGAATGAGAATGTGGTGGGAATCACCACCCCTGTATCTTTCAAGTCTTTGATGGTGCTGCTAATCTCTGCCATTCCTCCAGGAATGCAGTATTGCTTTTGGTTTACTATTTTCCTAGGTAGAAGCAGCCCTAATAGCTTTCATTTGGTCTGTCTCACCGTGATAGCCCTCACTCCAGAGGTTAGAGAACTAATGTGGGGGCTTCTGTCGGCTGCTAGATATGTCTATTCCAATTATGCATTCTAGAGCTGGGGAAATAAACACAGCATGGATTCAGGGACCCACTGGTCCACTGTGTATTTTCACACTGTGAAGGCACAGGACCACTGTAAGATAGACCTAGGCTAAAATCCCATTCATCACCTGACCTCCACACACTGACTGTCAATCACAGTGATATTTTGGGTCTCCCGAAATTAGTGTCAGTTCAGAACCAGTGTCTAGTAGTCCCTGAAAGGTCTGATTATTTCCCTTCCCCAGTGTGGAGTTACTCCATAAAAGGCTGTAGGTCCCTTTGGGGAAGGCCAGGGGAAAGATTAACAGTATAAATATTCAGTAGTATATGAGGGTCTTTCCTCCAGGGGACCTGGTCTCCCTTTCATTCTAGGTTTATAAACAGGCTCAAGTCTGGGAATTATTTGAGGGCCATAATTCTCTGTTTTTAGGATTCAGATTAGACTTTTTTTCACTTGACCTGGAACTTTCAGCTTATATAGATCAAGTACAAATTCAGTAGGCTTCCTATCTATTAAGTTGGTGCAAACGTAATTCTAGTTTTTTGCCATTACTTTCCATTGTAATTGAAATTACTATTGCACCAACCAAATATTTCACTTCCAGGAACACCATGATCAACTAGCAATGCTGTAGGTCTGCAGGAGGCAGACTATTCAGCTCACTGCTCTGATTCTGCTGTTTATTATGGTGACCACTCCCACCTTGCCTTTCTTTGGTGGTTGAATGACTGGCCCCTGCCACACTAAGATAAATCTTTCTCTGTGGAATAGCCTTATCAGCCACTTTCGGCTTAATCCAATTCAACATTACTTGAGGACCAGCTGTTGCCAGGCATGTTACTTATGAATAACTTACCATGAGAGCTAAGTACTAAAAGAAGACCTGTCTACTAAATACAAACTAAATACTCTAATCAGTAACAGATATTATCAGTGAATACTTATCCAGATCTTCCTCTTCTTCCCAGACTGCTCAGGTCCCCAGAAAATTCTAAGACTTCTGACTGAGAGCAGGGACCCATTGATGGACTAACACCTCCCTATTACTCTAAGACTACTCACAACTGTTCCAAGCTTCAGCTCCCTGGATGCCCTCTAAGCTCCTGACCTTTATATATTTTCTCTTTGTCACCAGGTTCGGATCTAAAGTCACAAAGTAGGACATGCTATTTGCTCTGATTTTATAACCGTGGTTTTCCGTACTCCTAATACTTTTCATTTGATTTTTTTACACAAAGAGAAAGGAAAGGACTCTAGATTTCTTGAAGGGATCAGACCCTTTACCTTCGGAACTCCTTTTATAATGTCATTATTTTAAAACTATCAAACTAAACAGGACATATTTTAAGCAAGTTTACAGATTAGGATCTTAGCAATATGTTTCAGCTAAATGTCAGAACTGGATAATGTCAACATTAATCAAAATGACCAAGAAAGAATTGAAATGGTGTAGGAACTATTTGAGTCCCTAACATTCAGGAGGTAATGTTGCATTAATAGATGTCAAAGTTAACAATGCTAGCCAGCTAAATAAGGAATTTCCTAAGCATATGTTGGAGGTTAGTGGATTAGCATTGATATTAATCATGCTTTGGACAGTAGACAGACAATCTATAAACACCCAGTTTGCATCAAGGAATAAAACAGATTTTATTTCCTTCTATTCTTGTTGAAGCCCTGCCCATATTTCTCATCATTCTTGAAATAAGTTCAATAACTATGTTCCGCTATACCTTGTACAAACTGCTGTGGTTAGGTGTTACTGCCAAACAAATAACATTATCTGTTTATCCATCTCACTTCACGCTAGCCTGTAGGATTCTTGATGCAAGGATGGTGGTTTACAAATATCTGCCAGGCCTGCAATGGAATAAGGAAGGACTTCAGAACAAAAAAGACTTGGAGGGACTTCAGAATAAAAAAGACTTGGATTGCCCGGGCGCGGTGGCTCAAACCTGTAATCCCAGCACTTTGGGAGGCCAAGACGGGTGGATCACAAGGTCAGGAGATCGAGACCATCCTGGCTAACATGGTGAAACCCCATCTCTACTAAAAAAATACAAAAAAAAAAAAAAACTAGCTGGGCGAGGTGACGGGCGCCTGTAGTCCCAGCTACTCGGGAGGCTGAGGCAGGAGAATGGCGTGAACCCGGGAGGCGGAGCTTGCAGTGAGCTGAGATCTGGCCACTGCACTCCAGCCTGGGCGACAGAGCAAGACTCCGTCTCAAAAAAAAAAAAAAAAAAAAAAAAAAGACTTGGATTAAAATCCTGGCCCTAGAATTTAACTGTGTCATGATGGGCAAGTTTTTTAACTTCTTTGAGCCTGATAGTACTGATTTTTAAAACAGGGATTTAAATACCTACCTAGAAGACTTGATTAAGAATGAATGATATAGGCCAGGTAGAGCGACTCACACCTGTAATCCCAGCACTTTGGGAGGCTGAGGCAAGTGGATTGCTTGAGCTCAGTAGTTCAAAACCAGCCTGGGAAATATGGCAAAAACCCATCTGTACAAAAAATACAAAATAAATAAATAAATAACTGGGCATTGTGGCCTGTGCCTGTAGTCCCAGCTACCTGGGGGGCTGAGGTGGAGGAAGGCTTGAGCCCAGGAGTCCAAGGCTGTCGTGAACCAAGATCGTGCCGCTGCACTCCAGCCTGGGTGAAAAAGCCAAAACCCCGTCTCAATAACAACCAAAAAAAAAGAAAGAAAAAGAAAAAAGATTAAATGATATAATTTACTAAAGGTTATAAATGAATGCTTATAAATGAAACGTGAAAGCTTCCCTTGTCCCCCTCCCAGGGCATGCGATGGGGGTGTGTCTCACTTCTTCAGTGCCCCACTGCTTAAAACTCTAGGGGAGCATACAGATAGGCAGGCTGTTCGTCTCCAACTCCATGGTGGTGTGTAGGGGTGGATGTTTACAGCTTGTCCCAGTGGACATGTGTTACAGGGTTCTCTCTTAGTTTAGCCATCTACAGGCAGCTTGTGTTAACCAGCTCAATTAGACCCTCTACCTTGGACAGAGGGCTTTCTGTATCCCGGGTTCTTGCCTTGGTGTACTGGAAGAATGGGATCACATGTGGGCTTGGAGAATGAGTGCCAAGTTTTATTGAGTAGAAGTAGCTCTCTGCCAATGGGGGAGCCATAAGGGAGATGGTTTTCCCTGGATTTGGGCCGCTCAGTGTCCCCAGCTCTCCTCCAACTGCCCCAGCCAAACTCTGTCTCATCCCACCAGTTGATGGCATGCTCATCTGTCCCTGTGCTCTTTGGCCAGCATGCTCTCAACCAACCACTCGGGTCTTCTTCCGCCAAAGTGTTCCTCTCAATATCCAGCTGCCTGTGTGTCTGCCCGCTAGGGTCTCCGGTTTTTATAGGCCCAGGATGGGGGTGTGATGGGACAGGGTGGTCTTGGAAAATGCAACATTTTGGGCGCAAAAGTAGGAGTGCCTGTCCTCACCTAGGTCCATGGGGGTGGAGCCCTAGCTAGGGACCATGCCCTCCTCTACCCAACACTTTCCTTCCCCTCGTCTGTATCATTTAAAGTGACCACTCTCTTCCCTTCCCAGCACTCCCGTATCATAAACAGAAGGAAATTGTATTTTTAAGATTCTTTGGTTATAAGCAACAGAAATAAACTCTGACTAACTTGAGTAGGGAAAGAAGACATAACAACAAAATGCAAGGTGTAATCTGGAATTAGATCCTGGGTCAGAGAGGGAAATTTATATAAAGGACATTATTGGGACAATTAGCATAATCTGAAAAATGAACTATATCTTATAAAATAGTGTTAGCTAATCTTATATTTTCTGAATTTGATCATTATATGGCATTTATATAAGAGAATGTCCTTGCTTTTAGGAAACACACAATGTAGGATATGGAGGTAAAGGAGCATGATGTCTGAAGCTCTCAAATGACTTGGGAAAAAAATTTACATGTATATAAATGATTACATACATATAAAATGTACATATATGACATATATACATTTATATATAATGCATGCATACACATAGAGACAGAGAAAGCAAAAATGTAAATATGGCAAAATATTAACAGTTATACATTCATACATAATGCATGCACACACATTTATAAAGAAACAAAGAGAAAGCAATAAAGCAAACATGGCAAAATGTAATAATTATTAGTGGATCTGAGTAAAGAATGTGGGAATATGCAGACACTGACCTTCAGTGCCTCGGCTCCAGTGCCATGGCGCCTTCCAGGAAGTTCTTCGTTGGGGGGAACTGGAAGATGAACGGGAAGAAGCAGAATCTGGGGGAGCTCATCGGCACTCTGAATGCGGCCAAGGTGCCGGCGGACACCGAGGTGGTTTGTGCTCCCCCCACTGCCTATATCGACTTCGCCTGGCAGAAGCTAGATCCCAAGATTGCTGTGGCTGCACAGAACTGCTACAAAGTGACTAATGGGACTTTACTGGGGAGATCAGCCCTGGCATGATCAAAGACTGCGGAGCCACGTGGGTGGTCCTGGGGCACTCAGAGAGAAGGCATGTCTTTGGGGAGTCAGATGAGCCGATTGGGCAGAAAGTAGCCCATGCTCTGGCTGAGGGACTCGGAGTAATCACCTGTATTGGGGAGAAGCTAGATGAAAGGGAACCTGGCATCACTGAGAAGGTTGTTTTCGAGCAGACAAAGGTCATTGTAGATAATGTGAAAGACTGGAGCAAGGTCGTCCTGGCCTATAAGCCTGTGTGGGCCATTGGTACTGGCAAGACTGCAACACCCCAACAGGCCCAGGAAGTACAGGAGAAGCTCCAAGGATGGCTTAAGTCCAACGTCTCTGAAGCAGTGGCTCAGAGCACCCCTATCATTTATGGAGGCTCGGTGAATGGGGCAACCTGCAAGGAGCTGGCCGGCCAGCCTGATGTGGATGGCTTCCTTGTGGGTGGTGCTTCCCTCAAGCCCAAATTTGTGGACATCATCAATGCCAAACAATGAGCCCCATCCATCTCCCCTACCCTTCCTGCCAAGCCAGGGACTAAGCAGCCCAGAAGCGCAGTAACTGCCCCTCCCCTGCACATGCTTCTGATGGTGTCACCTGCTCCTTCCTGTGGCCTCATCCAAACTGTACCTTCCTTTACCATTTATATTTTCACCCTGTAATGGCTGGGACCAGGCCAATTCCTTCCCCACTTACTATAATGGTTGGAACTAAATGTCACTAAGGTGGCTTCTCCTCGTCTGAGAGGTGGAAGGGGTGGGATTTGCTCCTGGGTTCCCTAGGCCCTAGTGAGGGCAGGAGAGAAACCATCCTCTCCCTTCTTACACTGTGAGGGCAAGATCCTCCCCTCCGAAGGCAGGAGTGCTGCCCTCTCCCATGGTGCCCATGCCTGTGTGCTGTGTACGTGAACCACCCACATGTGAGGGAATAAACACCTGGCACTAGAAAAAAAAAAAATGTGGGAATTCTTTGAGCTATTCATATATACTACTTAGAAATAATTTCCAAATAAAAATTTTTTTAAAGAGAAAAGCATTAATATATTGGAAGAAACTTGGAGCTGTCGAAAAGGAAGAGTGGAGAATTATAACAGTGAGAAAATTATGGCAGTGATGGAGATCTGATGCGGTCACCCCTCCTCTTGCCTTTGGTCTTCCACCTGCCCTTAATTATTCCTGGGCTTGGGTCAAGCTAATTTTGGGAGACATTTAGTTTAGTTTAAGTGATAATAGCCTTTTTCCATAACTCAAGTGCCTTTGTAAAGCTAACAAGAGGCCACCAAGCTGAGAGGAGAGAGGACCCTGAATTCTGCTACAGTGTAGTCATAAACAATTGCCAGCCATTATTCCAGAGGGCACAAGATGTGCAGCTTCCCCATTCCCAATTACTCCTGCAGATTACATCATATTGTAGAACCTAAGATTGGCCTTTGAGATATCTTTTCAGGTTTTGTGTATGTCTGAGGGCAGATGGCTCCATCTGGACCTGCCAACCTGTGGCCCCACCCAATAGTAACTCAGTACATGTGAGGACCATTTCCCACACCCCTGTGATTGTATCTCTAACCAATCACTAACAAGCACCCATTGCCTGGCCATCCCCCTGTCCCCTGCTTCCCCCAAACTATCTTTGAAAAACCCTAGCCTCCGAATTTTCAGGGATGCTGATTTGAATAATAAAACTCGTCTTCTGTTTAGTAGCTCTATGTGTGTAAAACTCTTTCTTTATTGCAATTCCCCTGCCTTGATAAAATGGCTGTATCTGGGCAGTGGGCCAGAAGAACCCACTGGGCAGTTACATCAGGCTTAGAAACTAGGTAGGAACCAGGACAGGTACTATTCAATTATTGGACTATAGCACTGGTAAAATTAAGTCTCTTCCTTTTTTTTTCATCATTTTGTACATGACTCACAATCCCAGAAAAAAGAGAATTTTTTTCAGTGAATCAATACAGGGGTGGGGGATAAGATCTGACAAGAGTTTCCTGAAGGGTTCACTATTGCATCCCTCACAACCCAGAATAGTGCCTAGCTCAGCACATTAGGAGCTCAAAACATAATTTTTAATGCATGTTTATACTCTAGCACATAATAGGGACACAAGAAACCTATGCAAGGAGTTTTGGTTCCCTTACCTCCCTATTGTAACTGTGGTTTTGAGCATTTTTATCAAGCATATAGCAGTTGTTGTAAAATAGTTACTAATTGAATTGTAGCATTGGCCTTGCCTGCAGTAAGTGACTGCTGCTTAGCTGAATGGATATGCACATTCAGGAGTCATATCTTTTTCCTCATTGATGAGTGGATTGTCCTGGACAAATGGCCTGCTCCCCAGATAGGTAATAACTTCAAGTGTCTAGGCCAAAATATAGGGAGAGGTGACAAGATAGTGTAGTAGCCTGATTTTAGAGTCATTACTTCTTAATCACTGTGAGATTTGGGAAATAATTATCTTAATCTCGCTCTTAGATTTTCATTGTGATATTATGAAATATATGTTTGATCTTTGTTCACATTTCCTGGCACACAACTCTTACAATCTTTGGAGTCTTCAAAGTAATAAGTATCTTTTTGTATGCTAATGAGTTGACTGATGGCTAGCAGCCCTAGGTAACTTTAGAATGGGGCTGATCACCAGAAAGACCAATGCAGGATTGAGTATCCAGACTTTCAGTCCCACACCAACCTCCTGGGAGGGAAAAAGGGCTAAATGTTGATTGCCAAGGGCCAATGATTTAATCAATCATGCCAGTGTAATAAAGCTTCCATAAAAACCTAAAGGGACAGGGTTTGGGGAGTTCCAGATAGCTGAGCACCTGAAAATTCCTGGATGGTGTGCCTGAAGAGGGCATGGAAGTACCACACCCCTTCCCACATTCCTTGCCCTACATGTCTTTTAATCAGTATCTCTTGTAATATTCTTTATAATAATCCAGGAAATGTAAGTGTTTCCCTAGATTCTGTGAGCCACTCTAGAAAATTGATCCAACCCAAGGAGGGTGTTGTGGGAGCCCCAGTTGATAGCTAGTAGGTAAGAAGCACTGATAAAACAATCTGGGGCTTGTGATTTACATCTGAAGTGGAGCACTCTTGTGGGACTGAGCCTTCAACCTATGGGATTTGATAACTGTCTTTGGGCAGATAATGTCAAAATTGAATTGAATTAGAGGACACCCAGCTGGGGGTGACCCCTATATCTCCTGACTGGGAGACACCTCCCAGCAGGGGTCGAGAGACACCTGCAGGAGAGCTCCTGCTGGCATCTGGCAGGTGCCCCTCTGGGATGAAGTTTCCAGAGGAAGAAACAGGAAGCCTGTTCTGCAGGCTCCGCTGGTGATACCCAGGCAAAAAGGGTCTGGAGTGGAACTCCAGCAGACCTGCAGCAGAGAGACCTGACTCTTAGAAGGAAAACTAACAAACAAAGGAAATATCATCAACATCAACAAAAACGATGTCCACGCAGAAACCCCATCTGAAGGTCACCAACATCAAAGACCAAAGGTAGATAAATCCACAAAGATGAGGAAAAACTAGCATAAAAGGCTGAAAATTCCAAAAACAAGAACACCTATTCTCCTCCAAAGGATCACAACTCCTCACCACCAAGGGAACAAAACTGGACAGAGAGTAAGTTTGACAAATTGACAGAAGGCTTCAGAAGGTGGGTAATAACAAACTTCTCCAAGCTAAAAATGCATGTTCTAACCCAATGCAAGGATGCTAAGAACCTTGAAAAAAAGGTTAGATGAATTGCTAACTAGAATAACCAGTTTAAAGAAAAACATAATTGGCCTGATGGAGCTGAAAAACAGCGCGAGAACATCGTGAAGCATAGACAAGTATCAATAGCCAAATTGATTGAGTGGTAGAAAGGATATTAGAGATTGAAGATCAACTTAATAAAGTGTGAAGACAAGATTAGAGAAAAAAGAATGAAAAGGAATGAACGGGGGGGCGGAGCAAGATGGCCGAATAGGAACAGCTCCAGTCTCCAACTCCCAGCGCGAGCGACACAGAAGACCGGTGATTTCTGCATTTTCAACTGAGGTACTGGGTTCATCTCACTGGGGAGTGCCGGACGATCGGTGCTGGTCAGCTGCTGCAGCCCCACCAGCGAGAGCTGAAGCAGGGCGAGGCATTGCCTCACCTGGGAAGCGCAAGGGGGAAGGGAATCCCTTTTCCTAGCCAGGGGAACTGAGACACACAACACCTGGAAAATCGGGTAACTCCCACCCCAATACAGCGCTTTAAGCAAACAGGCACACCAGGAGATCATATCCCACACCTGGCCGGGAGGGTCCCACACCCACGGAGCGTCCCTCATTGCTAGCACAGCAGTCTGTGATCTACCGGCAAGACAGCAGCGAGGCTGGGGGAGGGGCGCCCGCCATTGCTGAGGCTTAAGTAGGTAAACAAAGCTGCTGGGAAGCTCGAACTGGGTGGAGCTCACAGCAGCTCAAGGAAACCTGCCTGTCTCTGTAGACTCCACCTCTGGGGACAGGGCAATAACAAACACAGCCGAAACCTCTGCAGACGCAAACGACTCTGTCTGACAGCTTTGAAGAGAGCAGTGGATCTCCCAACACGGAGGTTGAGATCTGAGAAGGGACAGACTCCCTGCTCAAGTGGGTCCTGACCCCTGAGTAGCCTAACTGGGAGACATCCCCCACTAGGGGCAGTCTGACACCCCACACCTCACAGGGTGGAGTACACCCCTGAGAGGAAGCTTCCAAAGCAAGAATCAGACAGGTACACTCGCTGTTCAGAAATATTCTATCTTCTGCAGCCTCTGCTGCTGATACCCAGGCAAACAGGGTCTGGAGTGGACCTCAAGCAATCTCCAACAGACCTACAGCTGAGGGTCCTGACTGTTAGAAGGAAAACTATCAAACAGGAAGGACACCTACACCAAAACCCCATCAGTACATCACCATCATCAAAGACCAGAGGCAGATAAAACCACAAAGATGGGGAAAAAGCAGGGCAAAAAAGCTGGAAATTCAAAAAATAAGAGCGCATCTCCCGCAGCAAAGGAGCGCAGCTCATCGCCAGCAATGGATCAAAGCTGGACAGAGAATGACTTTGACAAGATGAGAGAAGAAGGCTTCAGTCCATCAAATTTCTCAGAGCTAAAGGAGGAATTACGTACCCAGCGCAAAGAAACTAAAAATCTTGAAAAAAAAGTGGAAGAATTGATGGCTAGAGTAATTAATGCAGAGAAGGTCATAAACGAAATGAAAGAGATGAAAACCATGACACAAGAAATACGTGACAAATGCACAAGCTTCAGTAACCGACTCGATCAACTGGAAGAAAGAGTATCTGCGATTGAGGATCAAATGAATGAAATGAAGCGAGAAGAGAAACCAAAAGAAAAAAGAAGAAAAAGAAATGAACAAAGCCTGCAAGAAGTATGGGATTATGTAAAAAGACCAAATCTACGTCTGATTGGGGTGCCTGAAAGTGAGGGGGAAAATGGAACCAAGTTGGAAAACACTCTGCAGGATATCATCCAGGAGAACTTCCCCAACCTAGTAGGGCAGGCCAACATTCAAATCCAGGAAATACAGAGAACGCCACAAAGATACTCCTCGAGAAGAGCAACTCCAAGACACATAATTGCCAGATTCACCAAAGTTGAAATGAAGGAAAAAATCTTAAGGGCAGCCAGAGAGAAAGGTCGGGTTACCCACAAAGGGAAGCCCATCAGACTAACAGCAGATCTCTCGCAGAAACTCTACAAGCCAGAAGAGAGTGGGGGCCAATATTCAACATTCTTAAAGAAAAGAATTTTAAACCCAGAATTTCATATCCAGCCAAACTAAGTTCATAAGTGAAGGAGAAATAAAATCCTTTACAGATAAGCAAATGCTTAGAGATTTTGTCACCACTAGGCCTGCCTTACAAGAGACCCTGAAGGAAGCACTAAACATGGAAAGGAACAAC